TGTAGGCAAAGCGGTTTTATCTCAACAACTCGTTGCACGTATTTGGCTACGTCATAGATACTCGAGGTCCATGCGGGTTTACGATGTTCGGTGGATCGCCGCAGTGGGAGCAGATCAAGACAATGTACAAGAGTGACCACTTTGGCACTCTGGCCAATTATCAGGCTGTGCTTCGGTTGGTGGCATTGCGATAATCGTGTACGCGTGGGGTTATTCATAGAGCTTTAGCGTCTTGGAAATGGAAAACGATGGGGCCACCGTACCTGACCTGCCCGCACCCAGGGTGCGGGTAGACTTCATACCGCCTCAAAGGCCCAAGGAAAAGCCGCGTGATTATCAACATCGCGTGTTCAAATCCCTCGTAAAAGAGAAATGCGGTGAGTTTTATGCGCCAATATACATAAATTCTGATTAATTTGTCACTTAGCGCGAATGAACGCCATCATTGATAAGTTTCCCCGGAAGAGAATCCTGGAGTTCTGCGCGAAGAACCAGATTCGCATCGTGAACATGAATCCGGCATTTATTCTGAAGAAGACAGATGAAGGCTACTACGCCTTCTACTTTCGCGGAAAGAAAATCGACCGCGTCATCGAGAAGATTGTGCTGCCTTTCTTTCCCGATGGAAGCGGCATCAAATTCGGTGTTGAGCAGTGGAGTAAAGGTATGATGTCTGGCATTCCACATCGTTCAGTATGTTGATTTTGCGCAGAGGAGAAGGCACTACCAGTCGCGGACCAAGACACCTTGCCATTGATCTTAGGCTACGTATCCGAGGGCAACGAACGCCCTATATACAATCATCACGGTCTTAGTCAAGTTGTCTTGTACCGCCTGCATCATACCGTGTACTGGGCGAAAGCGGTTGCCATCCAGAACGAGGCTGCGGATGAGCCGGATTCCGATGCGATGCCTGCTTTAGCGGGACCTGAAAGCGATAGTGACGAAGATAGCGATGACGCTGAACGAAGGGGTGACCACGAAGACGACGAGTCGGATGACTATACAATTGGCCTCGGTGCGCCCAGTGAAGACGAAGAAGGATACGAATCGTGGGGTGGTATTGGTGTAGTTAGGGCGAATGACGAGGACGAGGACGAGGATGAGGATGAGGATGAGGATGAGGATGAGGTCGAGATCGAGGAGTCTAAAGGTTACCTCGCGAAGCAGAAAGTGCGTACGCTGGCTTGTCTAACGAGCATCGGACACTCATAAAATTGCATAGGCAACATCGTCTACATTTCTTCCCCGCCACTCCGACTCATCGCATCAACTCGAAGCATCCTCCGATCATCGCGTAACTCCTCGCGCGCTGCCCAAGCCAGATCACACGGCGCAGAAGTATGCATCGGGGATGGAGCACGGGCGTCAATCATCGCTACCCGCACCACCTGCAAACATCGCGAAAGGACAGCGCACTCATGTCCTTGCGCAGAAGTCAAGTATCGGGCAGATTGAGAAGAATCGCCTGAATCAGTCGCGTACTTCCGTACTGAGAGCTGGCACCAACTCCGTCGATGCAAAGCGACGCAGAACTATAAAGGACTCGCAAGTACCTGGGGAATCAATGTTGCCTGGGGAATCAATGTTGCCTTTCAAGAGACGACGCATTGAACGCGGTTGGTGGATTTCGGAGCATTACAGAGTGACCTGTATTGACCGTCACCCCATTATCAGGCCCAGACCACGAATCAGGTGGCAGAGTACATCGCGAAACGGGCCCTGTTACCGGCTCGCCACCACCCGTAGCAGTTCCCGGGGCCCGTTCACGGGTGATCAATGGTTCGTCTATTATCGAGGAATTATACAAGCGGCAGTCTGAACATAAACGTGTAGGATTAGGGTCGTCGCGTAGCACAGCACCGCCCTCAGATCGTTCGTCTGGTGCTGCAACCAGTTTGCGTACGTCTGCTACGGCGGTAGTTGCCAATCACGGTTAGTTGCGGAAAAGGCCAAGTTTCGTCCTCATCTCATGACCATGTCATAGCTTCAGGGGCGCGCTCGTCCAGGGCTGCATCCGACTCGCATCCGGCTGCATCCAAGTCTCGTCCAGTTGGAAACGCGGGAGCTATATCGTCGAGTCGTACGAGCGGCCAACCACAGATGAAGACCAAGCCCAAGCCAAGACTGATATTTCGCAATACGAAGCAGGATGGTACACCCGTAGATCCGCCTGCGGATGCGTACAGGGAAGTCGTGGGTCGGAAACGCAAGCACAGAGCATAATGAAGATGTAGTCGTACCAATGATAGTGACTACACTTGATTGATTGAACACATCTCCGGCCACACTGTGTAAGGGATTTGAGGATCAAGAACATTCACGGGCGCTCTCTTGAAATGTGAGCCGTAGCCGATAAGACGAGAGATGCTGAGGAATACATTCCTTCTCGAATACAAGAATGGCTATAGTACCTGAGCTCGCAGCCATATTGTAATGTGTGCTCTCACGGAATGTAATGTCCATAGAGAAGAGGCTATCAAATGGTAGTACCAGCAGTAACAATGTCTCCGATGGGTATTACCATGTGCTGGACACCGTGTGTAGGGTGCTACCACCCAGCGTGTGGTGGCTCCACGCAGCCAGGGGAGTTCCATAGCTTCAAGGATGGTACCTCCACGCGAGTCCACAACGGCAATGGTGTTT